CTTGGAAAAACACTGACCATGACCCAATTCATCAAGAAGTTCATCCACCATAGGCATTGGGAAGTGATCCTTGATTGTGATGGCATTGAGGGCGTGATAATCAACACACATACGCTAAGAGCCATCTTTCTTCTTCAGTAGTAAGACCGGAGAAGAGAAGGGATTTTAGCACTTGGTTGTATCCACCCATTGGATAATAGCTTAGAGACTTAAGCTTCAATCTCGATTTTCTGGGATTGTGGGTAATGGTAGGGTCAAACATTGACCAGGGCAGAATTTGGGAGTAAGGGAATGAAATGATCGGAAAACCTTTTGCGAGGGAGAGAAAAAGGTTTAGTAAAAAGGAAGTGGTATTTGTGTAGTAGAAGTTGGAGGGGAGTGTGTTCGTGTGAGAGGGTAGGGAAAGGCAATGGTGTGACTGGTTGACTTTTGACTCTAAGGGAGAAGAATTGAGTTGTAGGGTCTGAATGAAGGACTCTTTTTAATTGGTGAAAAGAAATAGGTTTCAGAGGGGAAGTAGTTTGATCCTTTAACACAATAAGGCCATTAGGATGGTTAAACTACATAGTAAGGGTTTGTTAGTCCATGAGACTAGATTCATTTGTTTGAGACATTGGGCCCTTAAGACAATGTCAGACCCATTCATTCCCAATATGTATAAGTCTACCTTAAAAACATGTCCCTGTATAAGTAATTCAACCCCTGTACATAATTCAGTGCATAATAGAACTTCGTCGCTCCCCGCCATAATTTTCAAAACTAGAATTGGGCTGCGAGATAGGGCTAAAAAAATAGCCACTATTTCTTGGATGAAATTATGAGTACTACCCCCATCCATCAAAAATTTTACCTGAAATTGACTCACTTGACCTAAGATCCGCAGTGTTGCAGGAGCTTCAAGGCTCGACAAGGCATTCAAGCTAAGCTGGGCTGGATTCGGATCATTAGTGGGAACAGGTACTGTAGGAGATGGCGAGTTGGGTTCCGTAATTGAAGCATGCAAAGAAGAATCATTTGAGTCATCATCCTCTTCAGCAACCAACAACATGTAACATGATGGGCAGCGATGGTTGTGTGAGAATTTTTGTTCGCAATTGAAACACAAGCCACACTCACATCGATCAACCATCTTTGGCTCTATTAATTATTTAAAGCATGTGCGCCGAGGAGGAGCAGGTAGAAGAGGTGGGAATTTCTTTAGAGGAATTGAAGGAACTAGAGGTGGAGTGAACGGACGGGTCACCGGCGACAACGATCCGGGAAGACCACTACGCGACCGAACTAGACGAGTCAGATCATGGAACTTTTCCTCATGAAGGCGAGCTAACCCATAAGCTTGAGAGAGCATTTGCAGCTCTTGAGAAAGCACCTCACGGCAAATTTTCGGTTTTAACCCAGAAATAAAGCAACTCAAAAGAAGTTGGGGTTGCAACTCAACAATCCGATTAGCAAGAGTCTCAAACCTACTCATATAAACAGCAACAAAGGAGGTTTGAGTTAGATTGAAAAGCTTACCCTAAGGATCATGGAAGGCAGTGGGCGTGAAACGAGTCTCTAAAGCTTGTAGTAATTGTGGCCATGAGTGAATTTATTCAAATCGGTATATCCACTGAAACCACGCAAGAGCAGGACCGTTAAGGTAGAAAGACGCGATGGTGATCCATTCTTCCTCCGGTGTGGAATGATAGTCAAAGAACTGAGAGATCTTGAAGATCCAACCATGGGGTCATAACCATCAAGGCAGGGAACATCTAACTTGAGAAAATGACAATAAGAGGAATGGTTATCGGGTGAGGAAAATGGGGGAAGAGAAGGAGGTGGAGAAGGGGGGCGATTTTCAAGGGTTGAGAGGCGAAGATTTATGTCATCCATTTTGGAGATGACAAGGGACATGTTATGGAGCATCTCATCCATGTTTTCTGACTGAGTCTTATGAACAGATTCAACCATGATGGAGAGAAAACAACGAGAGCACCAAAATGTTGGGGTAGCATGTACTCTTTTTATTCGAGGACAGAGGAACCTCCTAAAGAATGAGAAGAGTAGGAAGAGAAAATACTTTTTTTTTTCATTCCTTCGTAACGGAACTTACAATCATATATATAACCAAATCATATATATAACCAATCCTTCTAACAATATTCTCTAATGGGTAACAAATGTTCAGTACGCAACTCAAAAGTTCTAAATTTTTGCTGACTTATTAATTAATAGTGAATAAAATCATCCCAACATAAGCTTGTGACTCACATTTGAACCTCTCATTCCTAATAATAGTATTGCTTAGAGGGGTTACAACATATAGTTTTGAAATTAATTTACTTTGATTTTTGTATTATAAAATGACTGTCCGACAAATAATTGACCGGATATACACTATACTGAAAGCTTACATCAGTTGGACCAAGAGTATGGACACCTTGGTAAAAAGTTGGGGACTTGATAATGTCTCTGTACAAAGGCCAGGTTATCTTGAACAGCTATCAACCTTTTAAGTCGTTCTATAGAAAACGTGTTCTATCTATGCAACATGATTGGTTACTTGGGGCAGTGTTCCTTGCTGCTAGTTCGTGTTTTCTTTTTATAAACTTGTGGTAATCAATTCAAATCTGAAACATCTTTTGGCATATTTGCAACCGCAAGCATTGCACAATTGATTTTACTTTTACTTCTTTCATATTTTGTTGAAACATATACTGAGAGAATACCGTTCGGAGCCGGTGGTAGTACTCATTCACTACCTTGACCCATATACTTTCTGTTCCTGCTGCATTGATTTCAGAAAAGGAACTTAAAGCTTTGAGACTAGGACATTTTAATTGTGACTTGGTGATAAAAAATCCATTTTACAACAACAAATATTTTGTATGATCAATATGTCAAAAGTGGTTGCACGTAGATGAAGAATTGACTAAATTGACTGCATTAGTATACATTAGGTAAAATTTGTTGCAAAATATTGTCATCCTTGTTAGCTACGTCAACAAAAAATATTTGCAATATAGATGGTAAAGTATCCAAAAAAGAGAACGTGAGATCTCAGATTACTATATTGACAACTTAATGCATGTAAAAATGTCATGACTTGATCTTTTATTTTTCAATTAGAAATAATAGTTAAACCTGTGCAAGAACACTCTGTACTGTTGGAATATTAGGTATGAAATTCTCAAATTCATTCAAAAAATATATCGTTTAAAGAAATTAAATACAAAAACGTCGCCTTGTTTTATAGAAGAAACATTAAATTGAAGATTAGATATTTAAAGAAAGTCTCCTTATAAGAATCTTAATTTTCAATCTTTCTATATGTCGTATGTCTTACAACAATAGAATGTAAACTTAAGAAACAGCCGTATTATTGTACAATACCATGCAGAATACATCCTGTCACTTTTCAGTAGCTATCAAGCATTTCTAATAATGAATTCTATTTTTTTCTTCACCCATTTTAAAAATGAAACAATGACAACAAAGAAGATTAATGTGATAATAGCTACCTTCTTTTTAATTCTTTTAAAATGAGATTGAAGTGGTGTTCTAAGAACACGACCTAAAATTGTGTATAAAACTGAAATTATATTATTTTAAATAAATACAAAAAAAACAAGTAACTTTGAAAAGTTAGTTTGTGGTCTCTCCGCTACCTTCGTTTTTTGCATTTACGTTATTGTACTTTTTTGACGATAAAGACAGGCTATTTATGTGCGGTGGACTTTAGATAGAAGACGCAGGTTTCAGTCCACAATCCTTACCATACGCACTTTCCGTTGTCATTCACTCACCTACTGTAATAAATTTAAGTAACCATAGTTCTGCAGTTCAATAATGCCACGTCGTCGTCATCGTTTAATACAAGTGTGTCAATATTCGTTTGACAAAGATTACAAAAGTAATGTTCATGAAAATATAAATTTTTATATTAAATATAAAAGTAATATCAAATGTAAAATATTTAGATGTGTTAAAAAATTATTTACTCTATATCTTATCATGTTTTTTTAATAAGGGTGTGAGAGAGATATTATATAATTTCACACCAATACAAACAAAACATTAAAACATTTGACACTTTTACTTAAATGTTTTCTTAAAATGATTTTTTTCACTTGTTTTAATGCTATCCTTTTCTCAATAAATAATATTTTAACTAGATATGATATATGTTAAAAATGTTTTGATGTTAAGATTAATTCAAATTGGATGGATAAAATTGTTGTTATAGATACGTAATAAAAATTTTAATAATATAATTTTAACTTATATTTATAGTTTTTTTATAGATTTTTAATTCAGGTCATTTAATTATCGTTCAATTTAAAGAAATTTTATTATTGTTTAGACTAATTAAATATCTAACTTATTCTAATTCTAATCGATTGATTTTTTATGCATGAATATCTATTTTGATTAGCATATATTAGTCTGTAAATGCTAATTTTATCCTAAAACTTTAAATAAATCTGTTTATAAATTTTATTTTCTTGTATAATATTTAACATTGACATTTGGATAAAACTTAATCTTCAACTTAAATTATTCTGAATAATTTTTCAGTATAGAAATAATAAAAATTTCACGAGTACATATATATATACATGAATAAATCCGTGGCGGTATATTTAGTATATGTGTATAATGGATAGTTGGTATTTTAATATTTGTTTTTAAATAAGTCGGATACGCGTAATTAATTTATATATATTTTAATTAAATTTTATTTTAAAATGTATAAAATATATTTTTTTACAGATGTTCACAGGTAACTACGATTTTATCCACAAATACAATTTTATGGATGATACTCGCCCCAACACTTGGCATCCTGTGTGAGTACCTATCGTGTCTTATATTTCCCCTGTCATTATCAAATGCATAATCCACATAGTGGTCCCTTCTATTCGTTTTTAAGATAATTTCTGTTCTCTGTGGCCCCACAAATTTCAGTCATTTTCACTTATCTCCACTTGAACTGGTGCAATCAGAAACACTTTCGTCTTTATAATAAACTCCTCCTCGGAGCGAGAGAATGAACATTACTAAGCATCTTAGCAAATTGCATTCACAAGAAATTCCTTCAGAAAACCAGCATGAGGGAATGGGGTGTGGTTGCTTTGCTGTTATCCATAGAGTTCTTGGATGTGATTGTGTACACTCTAAGCAAAGCAGCCATGAAGAAGGGCATGAATGATTTTGTGTTCGTCATGTACTCCAATGCATTGGCATCTTGCTTACTTCTTCCCTTAACCTTATTCTTTCACAGGTATCTCCATCCAAACTTCTTTTCTTTTCTTTTCTTTTCCCTTTACCCATATATTAATGAATTCTAGACAAGTAAATACATTCTCCTCTCTCTCTCTCTCTCTTTTTAATCGATTTCATGACTTAGCAGGAAAAGAGCTCCTCCGCCACTCACTTATTCCTTGGTGGGCCAAATATTTGTTAATGGCTTGTTAAGGTAATTACCTTTTTCAGTGTAAACAATCTTAATTTTGGTTTAACCTGAATGAATGTCTTGTTGATGAGGGAGCAGGTTTATGGTTATTTGTTTTCAAGTCTCATTTGGACTTCTTTTTACCTTTCTTTCTCTGAACTTGTGTTCTTCTCTGTCTTGCAGTTGCAGTGTTCAGATGCTAAGGTTTTTTGGAATCGGTTTCAGCTCTCCTACTTTAGCAACTGCAATGTCTGACTTAATCCCTGCTTTTACCTTCATACTTGCCATCTTCTTCAGGTTCTTATCTTTGCTCTCATTTTGTAACAACGGTTTTCTCTTGAGATCTTAGCAATGAAAAGTGACAGAGTGCAATCAAATTTTGGAATTAATAGCTACCTTATAGTAGGTATTGCATAATTTTCTCAACTAATCCTTAAGCTTATCCGTTTGGTAATTGTGGGTACAGGATGGAAAAATTGGATTGGAAAACTAACAGCACACAGGCCAAGGCCATTGGGACATTTGTATCAATCACTGGAGCCTTGATAATTACTCTGTACAAGGGCCAGGCAATCATAAATAATCATCCGTCTAATAAATTGTTTCCCAAAAACCTCGTTTCATCTGAAAATTTTGATTGGGTAATTGGAGCAGTGTTACTTGCGGGTCATAGCTTTGTTCTCTCGTTGTTGTTTATAGTTCAGGTAATTAATGCAAATATCGGACAGGATGTTGGCTTATGTACAAATAAGTATAACAGATGCTAAAATATATTGGTTTCACTTAGTTTCTTTCGTATTTGTAAACATGGATAATCAGAAATTACCCTGCAGAGCTTATGGTGGTACTCATTCGCGGTACATTAGTAGCTCTGCTATCTGTTCCAGCTTCACTGATTTCAGTTAAGGATCCAAAGGCTTTGAGATTGGGATTTGATGTGCAGTTGATAGCTATTATATGTCAAGTAAGAATAGAGACTGATACTATTCCCTGACTGTATTATACAAGTCTTGTTGTTCTGATTTTCGAGTTAACTTAGTGTCTTTCTGAATGTAGGCAATTTTCAGCGTATCCTTTCGAAGTGTTGTTCATATATGGGTGATGGGAAAGAAGGGCCCTCTCTATGTTGCAATGTTTAAGCCAATTGGAATAGTCTTTGCGGCCATAATGGGAATTTCGTTACTGGGTGACTCTCTCTATCTTGGCAGGTATAAATTTCTTTCATGTCTTAATCATAAGAGAAACGTGGAGGGATGACAATTATGAAAGGAGAATATTCTCCTTTTGTGTAATGCAATTGAAAAAATACTTTAGTGTTAGAAGGAATAGGATATCAAAGTCTTGTCTTTGTTTTATGTACAGTGTGCTTGGAGCAGCCATAGTGGTGATTGGTTTTTATGGTGTTCTTTGGGGAAAAAGCCAAGAGAGAACGAAGGAAGAGAGTGAAGATCATACGTTGGAATCATCCTCGCCCGTTGCCCCTCTTTTGCAGAACAAGAGAATGGAAGAATAGAATCATCCCTGAGATAATGATGGAATCAAATACTGGTGGTTATTTTTTGGCAAATGCTGAAATTATTAGCACTTACAGATCTTCAAGATAAATGTCTCACGATGTAATATTTTGACGGCAGACTGAGAAAACAAAAAAATTTTAGTCTAATTTGATAAGATTATATGGGTCTGTTTCATGTTCAAAGCACCCCTTGATTTGCAGCACTGCACCTAAGACAGCTTCTTGCATCAGATATTCATTTCTTGAATATCAACATAATCCGTTTTAATTGTCAGTGAATTTGGTATTTCTTAATTCCTTTCTAGTATTTGTTCTTATAAAACATTTTTTAATAAGTTTTTTTTTTTAAATATGATCCATACATTACATTAAAAAGTATTATACATACATAAACAAATACTAAACATAGTTAGAAAAAATACCACAAATACAGGCAATTAATATAATTACATCTCTCTCTTATATGTTTATGGGTTATTCACATTTCCATATTAATTTTGTTTGCAACATTATATTATTTTACTTACTTTTAAATAAATATTAAATTTATATTAAATATGTAAACACAAAATTGTGTCCCCTTTTTTTTATTAAATAATGGTTTAGTTTTCCTCTCTTTCCTTACTCTTTTTAAATTTAAAATTTATCAGCGCAATAGAAGATATAGAAAGAAAAAATTGTTATTTGGATCAAACCTTAAACGTGCAGTCCTATTTTATTAATCAATACACATAACAAACAAACAAGATGAAAGATAAAAAGAGAAAGAAAGAAAACTCTGAAAATTCTGGTGCTAAATATCTGAACAATTTAAACCCATTTCTCACTGAAAATACGTGGAACCATCATTTCCACGAGATGTCGTAGCATTTTGTTGTAGGATTTTCATTTCTGAATGATGTTATAGATTGTACTTACTAGGCTTCTTATTTTCTTGAAATGCGACTTCATGTTCATATTAGATGAACTTTTCTTTTCCAACAATGATACGCAGACACCAACAAATATAAAGACCCGTTTAACATATCATTTTCATTTTCTTGTCACATCTTATCACCTACGCACCCATCCCTCGTCCCAGTCTTTCTCTCTCATGGTGTAGAGTGTTGACAAACTTTTGGTATCTACAGAACAATTTTCTTCTTTACAAAAATAAAAATTTTACAACATGACTTTTCTTAAAGACTTGATGAACAAAACATGTTACAACTATCAAGGTTGATGTCATCTTTAAACTCCAACTTTAGATCGACACATCTACACACTAGTATATAGGTAACACTAGTCCTCATCCTCAAAAGAAAGGAGAGAACTAATATACTTCAGAGACTACTTTTTTATTCTGAGTACAATATTTGAAACTGCCTATTTGATGGCAGAATTGGAGCATCCTTTTAAAATGAACTAAGGCCCTTGTGTGTCCTCATGGCTGTTTTCCTCCAAAAGGAGCTCATCTCCCACTTTCTGGTAACGTATCATTCTCACTCCACCATCTTTAATGTCTTCGGCTTTCCCCCATAATACAGAATAAAACCCGACAACAATCACAATAGCACCAACCAGACTGCATTAAATGGTAACTATGAATCCATATTGGATAAAATAAACTCAATAGTACAATAAAGCACAAGCTACACAACCCACCTTCCAAGATAGAATGCGTCTCCGAGGAAGAAAACACCTAAAACCACTGATATGAGTATTCCTAAGGGCTTGAACATGGAAACAAAAACTGGTCCTGTCTTGTGCAAACACCAAGAAATAATACCAACTTGAAATGCAGAGCCCATGACTCCCTGTCAATGTTTACAGATGAAGCTCAGACTTCAAGGTAAAGATAATGCAGTAATTATTAGCGGGAATTTAATTTATTTTGATTACCGAGTATAATACTGCAAGCAACCTTAACTTGGGTTCCAAGCTCCAAGCATTGATGTCTCTTTCCACAACTAAACAAGTCACAGCAGATTGAATGGCCACAAAGAAACAATAAAAGAATACAACAATCAACTCTGCTGGATACTTTTTAAGAATAGAAGCCTGTAATATAGCAAATTACAATTAGCCAAATATAGAGTATTTGAAGCATGCTGGTAGAAATCACAGACTATGAGAGCGCTATCAATAATACTATGGTGGTAACTTTACCTGTAAAATAATATATGCGGAAGTCATTACACAATCAGCAGCGAGAAATAATCCTGCAAGTATCCAATTAGAATCTACCGATAAAAGTCGCTTTGGAGATGAGTCTGCCGATGACACTCCCAGCAAAAGTGCAGGGCCCTTGTACAAAGTCACAATAAAAGCACCAGCAATTGAAACTATTGTTCCCAAGGACTTAGCTAGGCTGCTAAATTTTCTCCAATCTAATTGTTCCATTCTGGAACCAGAAAGTAGGAAAAGTTTAAATAAATCTATGGCGGTGAACCACCAATTGAAAAACAACATTGTCATCATTTGCTCTTTAATGAAATAAAATGCATATTTAGCGAGCCTTTAATTTTAAAATAACTACAAAAGTCTTTCCAATTCATCACCCAACTAAACTCATCATTTGATCCAGATATATGTTTATATAAAGAATCACTTTTGCTGATAAAAAAAACATATATAAATACAGAATCACGAAGTTATGGTGTAGGCACCAGGTGTCCAAACTCCAAAATGAAATATTTTTTATTTTCAAGAGAAAACATAATTGGCAATCTATAGCACCTAGAACACCAAGTCCTAGACAAAAACTAGAAGGATCCCTAGCCAATTTTACTCTTTATTTATCATTGCTACTATGATGGCCACAACCAGAGCGATTGGAGGCATACATCCAGATTATCTGGAACAACTTCATCTAAAGAGAAGAGAATTTCTGAAACAACAAACCAAAAGTCGAATTCAAAGATTATGATAAGAATCTTGGGAGAACCATGCCAAAAAAAGCCAGTCGCTATGGTTAGAAAGCCCAAAGCCTTATTGTGCACTAGAATTCAAACTTTGAATCAAACTCCTGTGAGACTAAGACGATCTAACCAATCTAAAACTACTAAACCATCCCCATATAAGATGTTTTGATGATAACTATTATTCAATGTGACTTGTATATATGTATATGTTCTTTATTATAAACCTTATAATGTGTGTTTTGTACAAACCGTAGCTTGTCAGACCTTAAAAACCGTAGCTTGTCAGACCTTTAAAACCGTAGCTTGTCAGACCTTTCAGAGCTTACCAACACTTGTTAGACGACTTCTCATATCATATAATTGTATAAAGTGCTAAACATATTCTACATCATCAGCCGTAACTAGAATTAAGACAAAAGTATACTCGGTAAGTTTATATCTTCCCGTTACGAAAACCGCCTAAACAAAAGATTTAATGACGTTCATATTGAAGCTAAAAAAAAAACAAATGAAACATGAAGTGATTTATTTGATTCAATCATATGCTTTTACTGCATATATTCAAATTGTGTTTATGATATGCTTTGCATTATCTATGGAAATGCAGTCTTCAGTTTCGTCTCTATACAAACGGTAATCAAGTCATGCAAAGATTATTTCAAGCAATCAGTAAAGATTATGATATTGAGAATCACTTGAAGCAATGGTCAACTTCATGAAAATTATATAAAACTCAAATCTCAAGTGAAGAACATATATAAATACTAACTTAAATGTTCTAAGTGTTCTAAGTTTTGTGGGATAGTATGAGATTCCTAGTGAGCCTAAACTGTTTTTTCTTTGATAGTTTCTATGTTACTATCTTTTGAGGTCTTATTGAGATGGACTAACTAGGAATGGTTTGTGTATTCATATGTAATATGTAATTACCCCTTACTTATCTTAAGATAGAACTAGACTAAACATAACTCGTGAGTCAGAGTATATCAGTATAAAATTATTGTGTTGTTTAGTTTGGTTATTAGACGATCTATCGTTTGTGAGAAAAAAGTCTAGAGCTCTATTCAACCCCTTTTCTAGAATCAATTGTTCTTACAACTCCATACCTTGCAATTTGATCATAGTTCCCCTACGCTCAACAGTCATATGAAAAATATAATCTTCACATAGTATTGATATTAATATTGAAATCAACATGTTTAGAAACCCATTGGCAAGCATAAACTTGGAAACCACATCTAGTTTGTGGAGCCAAACATGAAATTCACATTGCCCCATAATAAAATAAATCATGCTAGAGTTAAGTATAGGAAGGGTAAGGACATAAGCAAGAAGAAGGAAATGGGATGAACCTAAAAAGAACAGCAAGTACGAAAGTAAAACCAGGAACGAGGTTGAGAATGGATGTGCTGAGTGTAGCTGAGCCGTAGTAAATCCCAGCATACCCAAAAGCCTGCGCCAAATAACTAAAACAAAACGCATTTCAGGCATTAGAATCAACTGTCTTTTTATCTCATTCATATGAATAATATGAAATAGGAAAAAATATGCTAGTATTCCCTATATTTTTTGGATAAATTCGGTTTTTGATCTCTGTTCTTTTAAATTAATAAATTAATTCTCCAACCGTGTGAGTTCAGTCTCTTTCTAACTTTGTATAGTAAAAAAATGTCCGCAAATTCATCAATTTAAGAACGTAAAGAGTAAAATTAGGTTTAACAAAAGATATGTATAAAAACTGATAACACATTCTTTTATCCACAATATATAAATACATATTTCTCTGCACAATATACATGAAATAGGTGAGTTTTTGAACTTGCCCGAGCAGTGCAAGCAGGAAGAATTCACAAAGGATGGAAAAGGTGATTGGAGGACGTTCAAATCTGCCAAGTATTATAAGCCAATCATAAATCATTAATGGCGAGGTTCAGTTCTGAAAAATAGCAACTGAATTGATAATAATTTACAGAGAGAGATAGGTGGTAACCTGTGTATAAGTAAGGAAATGGGAAGAAGAAGGAGGGCAGCGATTGTGTTGGAATAGAAGATGAAGATGAAATTGGTCATTCCTTGTGCCATGGCTTTTTTGCTCAATATGATTAGACCAACTTGAGCAAACTCCGCCATAATCATTCCAACAAACGGAAGAGTCAACTTCCCCATCTTCACATAAATTACGCTTACTATCAGCAGCAGTTTTCAAGGATAACGCGAAAACTACTTCAATTCAGAGTCAACTTCCACTCCCTGTTTCTTCCTCATTCTTATGAACCAGTTTGGATCCTGTTCGGTGTTTCTATCAAGGTTTTCTCTGTACCAGAAAGCAGAACCGTTGGATTATATCGCGTGAAATAAATTGCGGCAGAGGTTACGGCCTAACCCCTTGGCGGCTGGGTACAGAAATAGAGTTTACATGTTCTGTTTTTAATCATTTAGACACTTAATTATTAATTTAGTTGATATTTTTGGTTTTTTATTTATTTTATTCCTATATTTATTTTTGATTTAATTGAATACTAATATTTAAGTGAATATTTTTTAAAATGTCGACATGTTTATAAAATGTTCAATTAGTAATTTGATTTTTACATTAATTGATTTTCTATATTTTTTATATGAAGATAATGTCATATTTTTTTCATGAGTGTTGTTCTCTACAAATCTTTAGAATATTCAAAAACATTGAAATTATATATCCATATTCGATGATATAGTAGATAATAATCAAAATTTTGGATTTGTGATATTAGATATGAAGGAGACGATTTTATTGGAATTGTGTACAAGAATGTCAAAAATATTTGTATCCAAAGACAAAATATGTAAGGGATAGAAAATTAATATTATAAATGAACTCCATTATTTTATGGGTACGAGTATCTTTTTTTTATATTAGAATGTTAACTGGGTGGGTATATGTATCATGGTTTTTTTTTTATCAGCAAATAATAAATAAATAAATATCGTAAAACAGTTATGGAGTGTTTTAACCCTTAAAAAAAAATACATGATAAAGGTACAAAAGACATAACATCGTAAAAAAAAAAAAAACAGCTACTTATAAAAGCTATATACAGAGTGTTTCATCCACACCTTCACCGTATCATTATACACCTTCAAAAATTACATTTTTAATCTTTTAATATATTATTCTCCATCTTTAACTTTTTCAAAACTTTCATTTTAACTTTAATAAATATTTTTCTATTTTTTTTCTCTTATTAAAAACAGTCTTCACCATTTTAATAATAATTTAATTTAATTTTTTAAATATTATTAATATAATTTTATATTTTAATAATTATTAAAATATGATTTATATTATAATAATAGTTATATTAAAAACATAAAAATAAAAAAATAAAAATAATATTAATAATAATAATAAATAATAATAATAATAAATTTGATTTAATATATTCAAATATATTAAATTATATTCAAATAAATTAAATAATTATTAAATTTTAAACAAAAACCAAATTTTAAAAACTTGTTTAAAACCGTAAAATATGTTAATATTTTTGTTTTTCATTTAAAATTTAATAAATATTGAATTTAAATAAAAATTATAATATTATTTATTATATTTATATTTTAATAATTATTAAAATATGATTTATATTTTTATAAGAGTTTTATTAAAAAAGTTAAAAAAAATAATAATTAAAATAAGTATAATAATAATAAAAATAAAAATAATATGTAAAATCACATTAAATATATTAAATTAAATTAAAATATTAAATTAAAATTAATAATTATTAAAGTTTAAAAAAAAACTAAATTAAAATTTGTTAATCGGATATAAACATCCGATAAGTGATCTTACGGATATCCGATGAATGATTGTTTTTAAAATTTCATTTTTTATTTAAATTTTAATAATTATTTAGTTAATTTAATATTTTAATATAATTTAAATGTATTTAAATATTTTATTTAATATAATTTTATTTAATATAATTTTATTTAATATTTGATTGTTTTTAAAATTTTGTTTTTACTTAAATTTTAATAATTATTTAATTTAATTTAATATTTTAATATATTTAAATATATTAATTAATATAATTTTATTTTTATTTTTATTATTTTTATTTTAATTATTCTATTTTTTTATTTTTAATATAATTATTATTATAATATAAATTATTTTTTAATAATTATTAAAATATAAAATTATATTAAATAATATTTGAATTTTAAATTTAATTATTATTAAGATGGTGCATAGTGTTTTTAATAAGAAAAGGAAAAGAAATAAAAATATATTTATTAAAGTTAAAAATTAAATTTTTGAAAAAGTTGGAGGTGCAAAATAAGGATAAGGATGATATGTTAAAAGGTTAAAAATGAAATTTTTGGAAGTGCAAGATGATATATTATGGATTCCAAGTTTTAAGGTTAAGGGTATTTTAATAATTTTCATTCTCAAAACTTAAAAGAAAAAAAAGAAACTCACCAAACCCTTACCCACCTCTCTCATCCCTCTCAATCCTTTCTCTTTCATCTCTCTCACTCCAACCTTTTATCTGTCATCCTACTGTAGCCCCAATTGAAAAAAATCAGAAACACATGCCTTTAAAAAATTTTCCTTTGTAAAGAGTTGAGTCATTGACATATTCACCTTCAAGGCAAAGGTTCATTCAAGATCTCTTCAATTTCACCATCTTCACTAACCTCTCTAATTTCATCATCTGTATTTGTTGAATCATCATCTCTAAAAAAACCCCTTCAAGCCAATTACCAATTCTTTCGGATGTCATTATGCTTGTGAAAATTAGATAAAATTATATACGACAAAAATTATAAAATGAAAACACATTATAAAGTCATTTTTTGTAAGGAATTGTTTAACAACTGAGTCTTTCTGATTTTTTTCCAGGCCAATTACCAATTCCTTTATGCTTGTGAAAATTGGATAAAATTAGATAAGACAAAAATTATAAGATGAAAACTCATTATAAAATCATTTTTTTTAAGATTGTTTAACAGCAAGTGTTTCTGATTTTTTCAATTGGGGCTACAGTAGGGATGACATAGAAAAGATTGGAGTGAGAAAGAGGAAAGAGAAAGGGTTGACAGGAACGAGAGAGGTGAGTAAGGGTTTGGGGGTTTCTTTTTTTTTTTTAGTTTTGAGAATGAAAATTATTAAAATACCCTTAACCTTAAAACTTAGAATCCATGATATATAAGGATATTTTTGTCTACTAAAACCCGGTACACTAAAATGTATCAATTGAAAAATAGACGTACACATGTTAGCAAACCCCATATATATATATATATATATATATATATATATATATATATGGGTTCTAAAACACATACATACTTATAAAGTTGGGAGCTATTAGCTCTAGTTAGTTATGGATAAATACATCTTATAACAACCTTGGTAAGATCTAGGGTGCATTAGAACGAAGTCAAGACATTAGTACAAAAACAACATACAACGTCGAATATTTTAGGTCTTTCACGTTGAATTCGAGAGACGTTAAATTTGAAGTCGAATTTTATCAATAAATGACAAATTTTATATTAACAACAAACAACAAACAAGTTCAATCAAACAAAAAACAAGTTCAATCAAACAACAACAACAAACAAGTTCAACCAAACAACAACAACAACAAACAAGTTCAACCAAACAACAACAACAACAAACAAGTTCAACAAAAAATAATAACAAATAAGTTCTTCAAAATGAAAACGAAAACTAACCTTGGTTTATCGGAATAAAGTGTTGTCACAAGTGAGAGAGAAAGCAGAATGCGCCTATGAAGGAGAAGAACACGAAAATAATCGGTCAAAACTAACGAAAATCATACCTAAAGTAGTAAATTAACATGCATTTGTATCAAATGAAAAAAAGATTACATGTGATGGTCATCAAACTTCGTTTGAGAAAATTTTGAGCATAGGAGAGGGTCTCGCGCACTAAGATAAAGTTAATGAATTTTCAATCTCCCGCTCAAATTTTTATTGAATTCACTAACCTTTTGACGACTAACGCAGGGGCATTTGACGTTTTATATATTTTTACGTCGAATTACAATTCTAAACAACGTTTAATAATTGTATTTATTTACAAAAATGCAATCGATCATTTTTAACATTGGCTATTGAGTGGTTCGACGTTGAACGTGTGATGTTATACGATGTTTTTGCACTAGTGAGTAAGGAATGCATATCTAAACAACCAATATATTCACATCAATTCTAGCGAAAAAAAGAAGGCACTAATGTTGGCCATTTGATATTGCTTCCCCTTAAGAAGGTGAATAATGTCTTTTTATGATCTTTATATTGTGCTTGTATCCAACTTTCCTTTTATGTGTCTTTTGATCTCTTCATCTTAGCTACTCAGTTTTGGCTTTATTCCTTACTCCCTTCCTTATTTAGGTGATGCTACTTCCAAATGCATAAGACACTTCTAACAAATAGGAATTACCAATTCACAAAGATCTAAGCATAAATAAAAATACAAACACTAGTCATTATATGAGAATTGACATTATGAATCTTATGTTTAATCCAAATCCATGCATTTACCTTCTGTTGTCTAAAAATTGCACCATTTCTCTATTTCCATTCCTCTCCAAATGAGATTTTGCATACTATTAAGTTTAGAAGATTGAAGTGTTAAAAATTAGTTATAGGTTGATTATGATGCACCTTAGTCACTTACATCCATCTATCATACATGTTTCATACTACATGAGATACTATGCACGAAGAGAATAGGTGAGTCATACTTTCCTCTTGAGCTAAGCATAGCTCCCACAAATTATTTTGTAAATATGTCCCCTTATGGATGATTTGTCCTTTGTTGGTAACTTGTTAAACGACATTTGTCATCCTAATAATATTATCATAACGATAAAAATAAAACATGAATCTAATATTAAAAATTAAATTACTAATTAAATTATTTATTTATTTTATTAGATAAACATGTAGTAACATTTGAAATTGTACAAAGAAACAGACTTTATTTAAAAATGCAAATTTAATATATTAAGAATATAAAACACACTTAATATATAAAAGTTCGTGTGAAACTAGGAATATTTAGAAGATTATATTTAAGGTCATAAAAGTATTTTTGTTGGAAACTATTTAATAATATGACATCATCAAAATAATAAAATCTTGAATTATAAAAATAAAAAAAATATTTTTCTGTCTTATAAATATATATTTCTATAAATAACTAAATAAAATATTATGTAATTATATAAACATTTTAAAAACCTTCCATTCAAATCGGAATTTCGAAAAGATCTTAAAAGAAATATAATTAATTTAAAACATTATAACATGATTTCTATAAGAAAATGTTCAAACTTTAGG